GATGTTGGTGGTGCTGCTGCTGGTGGTGGTGTTGTTGGTGTTGATGATCGATGCTGTTGTTGTTGATGATGTTGGTGGTGCTGCTGCTGGTGGTGGTGTTGTTGGTGTTGATGATCGATGCTGTTGTTGTTGATGATGTTGGTGGTGCTGCTGCTGGTGGTGGTGTTGTTGGTGTTGATGATCGATGCTGTTGTTGTTGATGATGTTGGTGGTGCTGCTGCTGGTGGTGGTGTTGTTGGTGTTGATGATCGATGCTGTTGTTGTTGATGATGTTGGTGGTGCTGCTGCTGGTGGTGGTGTTGTTGGTGTTGATGATCGATGCTGTTGTTGTTATTGTTGTTGCTGGTAGAGTTGTTGTCGGTGTCGTTGTTGTTGCTGTCGTCATTGTTGCTGTAGTCATTGTCGTCGTCATCGTCGTCGTTCATACTGGTAAGCTCTTGTTTTGGTTGGCAAATGGATCGTGTAAGCTGTTGCTATTGTTGGTAAAATGGCTGCCAGTGTAAGTTCATACGACTGCTACGGTGATCAAATGTTGCTGACGTTATAGTGCCCGGCCGCGTACCTCGTCCAGTAAGATGATCTGTGGAGCCTTGAGTATAGTTCTGGCGATGGCGACTCGCTGCTTCTCTCCTCCACTCAGCTTCAGTCCTCTCTCACCGACCAACGTGTTGTAACCTTCACACAACAACAGCACCAACAACAATCATGATGATGATGATGACAAAGGGTTAACTATTACGGGGAATAATGAAGTACATAACAAAGCTAACAGTGTAAATTAACACAGGGTTAACTATTACTGTATTATGGGGAACAGTCAATTGCAATAATTAATATAGCGTTAATCATGGCGGGTGTAATACAGTAACTAATATAGTTAATTGCATTAATAATACAAGGTTAATCATACAGCTGACGTAATACAGTAATTAAAGTGGTAATTAATGTATAATTAATACAGCGTTAATCACGCAGCAGCATGGCGTACCGTCGGGGAAGCTGTCGATGCGATCGTGGATCTCCGCGGCGCGCGCTGCCTTCTCTACCTGTTGATCGTCCGCAGTCACGCGGCCGTAGCGAATGTTATACCTGTTATATAAACACACGGATACATACACTAACCACGCACGCACGCACGCACGCACGCACGCACGCACGCACGCACGCGGCCGTAACGAATGTTGTACCCGTTATATACACAGACACATACACTAACCACACACACACGCGCACACATGCACACATGCACACACGCACCCACGCACGCACACCAACATACGCACGCACACGCACACACTAACATACACATGAACACACGCATACGTGACAATATGAGACCTCAAATCTTCAAAAACCTACGCACGTTCACGTCTCGTACGAGTTTAATTAAAACCTGCGATTTGATAAAGTTTCCACGGCGACGACCGCGCGGTCGCCCGCTCGCAGCGCCACCTACATGATGTTGTCGTTGAAGAGTACGGTGTCCTGCGGTACGACCCCGATGATGCTGCGCAGTGACTCCTGATACATTACGTAAGGAGTGAATAATAATTATCTATTATTATTCACTCCTGAATACGTTATTCCTTGTATACGCTTTGGTGTGATATGTTGCAGAAACCCGGTGTGTCTGTTGGCATACATTACATTAGTCCCTGTAAAGGTTAGTCAGTGTAAAGCCTTTGCTAAAGCGGGCTTAGATGCATTTCTCATGTAACTGAATTGCACATGTTATGTTAGTTCAGTGACTTCTGCTAGGAATACATTCCGTGTATTGCTATTAGACGTGTATTATCCTGTATATATATATATATATTATTAACGTATTGTATTATTACATTTCATGTTAATTTACGTGAGAAATTTGTATCGTTATTGAATCATTTGTAATGTAATCATGCATAATTATATCGTGCTGCTCACAACAATGCGATTATAAAAGCATTGATACTGCATCTTTATTTGTTTATGTTCATTTTTTATTTCAATTATATTGAATTTCAATAAACGGTGTTTGCCCATGTTACTGTGCGTGCGTGATTGTAAGAGGAATAAAAACTATACATTTAATTTTATTATTTAGCATTTCGTGTTAATGGTGGTGGTCATGTAGCAGACACGGTTGTAAATATGAGAGATAATGTATTTTGTAGCAACAAACTTCAAAGATTGGGACTGAAAATACTCAAATAATGACGCAATTAAGTAATCCTTTACAGGTTAGGTCCATTTATTTGCCCTAAAATGTATTATTTAGCATTTCGTGTTAATGATGGTGATCATGTATGCAACGAGGTGTTTAAACATGAGATGTATGTTGCAGTCATAAACTTCGAATTCAGCTCAGAAAAACTCAAGTAGTGACACAAGTAATCCATCAGAGGTTATCTATTTGCCAACTCTTGCAAGAATAAATATATCGCACACACATCACCGATGACAAAATAATTAATTATCACATAATTAACTAGTATTACAACAACACAGGTAATTGTGCTGACGTTCCGCAGTTCGTTAGAGATCATGTAGCATATTGATCATAATAAAAAACAAAACAAATTGAGCTTATTTCTGTTTCACCCAATCACCTTCAAATCACATCACATGTATAGAGTACCGAAGTGATGACGTCACGGTGGCATGACAACGAGCCTGCTGGTTCTACACAATCATATGCTCTGGTAACATTAACTACGTGTCGTGTTTTGTACCCGATTGTAACCATCATTCTGAGAGTCATTATTGCAGTTTTTATAGATTTCCAAAGGATGGAAGTGAAAAGCAACCAAAAAAAATAAAAATAATTAACAACAAAAAAAAATAAAAAAAAAAATTAATTTTTTTTT